GAGTTTTTGTCCGCAAACACGTCAACTAAAAGAAGATTCATAGCCATAGGTTTCTCCGTTCTTTTGCTCAGTGCCTCTCTTTTGATAAAGTATATATGAGTAAGCTGAAATATAGACACAGAGTGTTTATCAACTCCGAACAAAGATATTTTAAACTTTTAATATGGACAATCATCAAAAATTTATAATTTTAATACTTACTTGCTTATTTCGTAATTAAAAGAAGGAACTGTAGTCCGTAGAAAAGGCGTACTTTGTTCGTATTCATGCTCTATCCCTTCGACGGAATGAATTTATGAGGTAAACAAAACCAAAATCGAGAAAGAAACCCCGAAAAACCGAAGATATAGAGCCATTGGTCCACTCTTAATTCGCTTTGAATATGTATGAATTTGGTATCAAAATTTGCGCCAAATCATGTAGATTCCAAAAATGGAAGTAACTAGACGTCACAATGTATTGCAACAGCGCTAGCTCCAGTTTCCCTCTCACTTCCGCCGTGAGTAGGTCACTCAGCGGTGAAATTCTATAATAGCGGCGTACTAAAAAACCCCAAAGTCCAGGTCTAGAACGTGATGAATCTGTATGAAAATTGCATTACCAGACGTGCCGAAGGTGAAATTTTTAAATCCCGCTGGTAACTAAGATGTATTTTTTACGCACAACGCACGAGCAGGAAAAAACCACGAATTTTGAGTCAAATAATATAGCCGCGCAGCTGGAAGCGCGCTAACTTGAAACACGATATACCTTTTGTCTACACAGAGTTTGATATGCTTGCCGGCTCTTTCGCCAGCCAGTCGCCAAGCAAGCACTGAAGTAGCTTCCAAAACTTTTTTTTTTATTCGTTAAATAAGAATGATACAGTAATGTAAACAAAAATCAAAGATGAATAAATATAATATTCACATGTACCAAATAATGGTCTTCTTCGTCCATTCTCCGTCGATATTTTTCGTGTCAAAAATAAAAGTGCAAACTTGTTTTTGTTCAAAAATATGAGAGCTGGACCGTTACTACGGCACTTAGTGTAAGGGCCTGTTCATATGAGACGGGCCAGCCCGGTTTAGCCGGGCTAGCACGGCAGTGGCGGGATCTCGCCTCACATATTATTTTACTTTATTTGTAAAATTGCATTCATATGGAACCAGGCCAGCCCGGCTTTGGCGAGATCTCGCCTGAACAAAGCGAGATCTCGCCTTTAACGGGCTCATATGAAAACAGCAAAAGCGAGCTAGCCCGGCTCAACCGGGCTGGCCCGGCTCATATGAACAGGCCCTAAGGGCGCAGCCAGACCTAAAACTGTGAAGGGTTTCTCCTGAGTCAATGTTAGCCTGCCGGAGATATAACGTAAGAAGCGCGGCTGCGGCGGAGCTAGATAGAGCTTGGTTGAGAATATGACCCTGACGGTTAGTGGGACGAAATAAATATCCTGCCAAAAGATCAACGGAGAGTTCACTGGCAATGGAGACGTACACTTCAATTCCCCGTACAGGACACAAGGTAGGATTTGGGTGGCGCCGCATACCAAAGAGATTGTGCGAGCCATCCCGCAGAGACGGCAGAGTCTTGTCCCAAACATGGTTGAAAAGTAAACCACTATCATCCGGTGTCAAGCGAAATCTCTGACCTGTGCGAAATCTCTTACCCGGTCAGAGATTTCGCGCGTGTACACGTGTACGGGTACCCATTTTAGCCGTGCATTGCCTTTAAATCGAGTGTAGTATAAACGGGGCTCTATTTGCTTGCCCAATTTTCACATTTCTCACGTCAGATCTAATTAAGTCAAGTTAGTTACATTCAATCATAGAGCATTGTCTATAGAGTGTGATGTTTGAAGATAAGTGAATATACTGGGACACATGTTCCATTGGTTATTTCTAAATTCAAAAAGGATATTTTGGGGATTTCAAAACTAGAAAGGCTGCATTAAACCTAAAACGTAGTTATTGCCTGCCTCTAAACCCAAATTAGTAAAAGTGGCTTATTTCTCAAACCGAATTAATCAATTACAACAACGAGCCTGAGGGTTGTAACATTTGTTGCATTCCCCTGCCATTCGGTGATTAAAATGCATGATAAAATCTGTCGTGCATGAGTAGAGAACGTTTGTTATAACATGAAGTATGAATGTTTTTGCGCGCCTTTTCTTATGGACCCAATGTTCTTGTAGTTTTATCACCATTGGTGTTATTGGATTAAAGCATTAAAACAATCATTTTCAATCTATTCATCAAGCTTCTGGCGACGGCCTTGAATATCTATGGGACCAAGTTGTGGGGTATGCTTTCCTCAGGGGAGAGAGGCTTGACATCGCTGTCCTCCTTTAAAAGTATGATTAGGAAAAATAACTTATCATTATTACTAGAGGGAGGTTGCAAGAATTGCACTTTGTGTAACTCGTAGTCTTGCAATATTTTTTATAAGAAGTAGCATTTTTGTACGTACTCTTGTCGTGTCCCCATATTAGTATGGGATTTTTATCCCAAGCTATAAAGTTTGACACTTTAATAAAATTTATAATAAAAATAATAATAATAATAAAAAGTTCCTGTGTTTCACTATTCAAATTAGATTATAACGTTATATCATAACCATAATTTTCAAAAAGCCCGCGGAGGAGGGCGTTGTATAACTCACCTGTCAAAACTTCTTACCCAGTCTGCATTCAAACACTGAGATGCGCGATCACTATAACCACCTGTACCTTTGCAACATTGAGCTCCTTCAATGTGGTAAATATAATCTTTGGTGTGATCGCTGCTTAACGATCTCTCAAGGCCAGCAATGTAATATTTCCCTGGACAAGACGAACGACCAGAATAATCAAAGCTGCGCCACCAGTTTGCATAAGTGCATTGCGAGCCTGAAGTTTAAGAAAAGTATAAAAACCTCAATAATAATTCAAAATCCTTTCATACGCAATATGTCCGCTCGATACACAGAAATAAATCATTCATTTAATAAAAAATTACCTACGTACATGCATGCAGCATTTCCCATTATTTACATTTTTTATTTATTTCCTAATAAGTAATTCAAAAACATGTGCAATTTTAGACAGAGCCGATTTGAGCTGCTTTTGATATTAACCCAGATTGTATCCTTGGCACTCCAATGAAAAAAATTGCGAAAAATCTGGTTCTTTGTTCAGATTAGCATTGCTGTCTTTCAGATTGGAACTAAGTTATCATGCATAAATTTAATCAAATCTTTAAGGTTTGCAGTTATTGAAGTGCAGGAAATGCTGTGTTATGATTCGTCCCACAATTTCACTACTTTTATTCCAGATCTCAGATCAATGCTTTATCTCTCCTTAGGTCGGAGGCTCCCATGCAGAACAAGTTTTCCCAAGGGATGGACTGGTGTGGAGTTATCGTATACAGGAACTCGGATTCAAATACCATTGAAATATATTCACCGGCCTCAAAGAATTAGAAACGTCTTGTTTTGTTAGTATTTACTTTATTCCGGTCAACATAATCCATCATCGGCCAGTATTCCCTATTTCACTGTTTACATTATCACCACATCGATGCAATTATTGTTTTTAATTCAGGATTTTAGTGGTAAAATGTCAAAGGCTAGTCGACTACGAAGAATTTGTCCCAGTCATTCACCCTTCATAAAGTAAGTTATAGGTAGCATTACCAATTTTGCCCGATTTTTGAGACTTGATCACTCAACAAAGCTCAGAGTTTCCTTTTGTAGGAGTATAGGAGGAGACCTTCAATACTGAATTTGACCAAAGTCTGTTTCAAAGACTTTTTCCCTATAGTTCAAAGTCACTGCCCTGATGGACCTTAGCCAACCAAAAGATGCATTATTTACAGTATATTATACAAGATTCACAGTAGAATAATGCAAAGTTTTGTTCAGTGACATACGTACCATTGCACTTCACGAAGTGACAAAGCAATACGAGAAGAAAAAACGAACTGAACCACATCATTTAGCGTTGTTTTACTTTTAGACACGAGAGAAAAAGTGGAATGCAATGAAAAGATTAGTAAATGTGCTCGTTGTAATTCAAATTATATTTATAGAAATTCAACCAATTTTGGCAATTAAAATAAAGTAAATGAAAAATATTAATCGAACAGCGAAATTAAATTTAGATTGAACTTTTATTGAGTATAAAATGTAAATATTTTCTTTCCAAAATTAATCGAAAAATAATTAAAACCCGACTCGCGTAATTCATTTTGTTTTTACATACAGAATATAGACATTATATTAGCTCAACTAATCAAAATTCCGTCATGTATCAAGCAAACAAATTGTCAATTTTCACGTTACCTGGATACGAACAGAAGCATGTGGTATTTTAATGCATAGGTGGGAAATAATGGGGTAGTCATTCATTTGTAAAATTGTACAGATCCCTTTCCAATTATGTGTAATATTTATAGCATTTATACGAAGTATACCTGAAGGAATCAATTTAATCAAGACCTTAAAATGGAATATCATCTATATAAGGATGAAGTGAATTTTTTTCAAATGGAAGACAAGGTTCCGTTAACTATTATTCATTAACGAAATCTGCATATTAATAAAACTTGCCATTTATTATTCCAATGCATTTGTTGACTTCCGATATTTGAAAACCTAATTACGCAGTCCACTGAAATCAGTGCAATGTATTGATGCATAAATAAAAGACTCTAAAATCCACAAGAGCAAGATTTATTCCTGTGAGAACATTTTGCAAAGGCTGAAAACAAATCTACTGAAAGTGACAGGTCGAAATTTAGTCGCCCACCGCGTGTCGATTAGTATTTGTATGTCTTTCATTTATTCTCTCTAAAGTGAGTTAGAATTATACGAGTTTTTTCGCCGTTAGTAATTTGTTATTATTGCAAGCAAGCAGTGGCGTAGCCAGAACGATAATTGGGGGGCTAATATTCATATATTCGTGATACGTAGGATTAATTTCTTTTCAAATCAATTGTCTTTACAGTCTGTTAACATGAATATATGAATATGGGCCCCCCCAATTATCGATGCTGGCTACGCCACTGCAAGCAAGAAATATGTGCCATTGCTAACGCATGCTTCTAAATGGAAAAAAGAGAGAAAGCTAGGCATATAGGAGGATATATAATTGGAGTATTCTTTGTTTTAGGATACTTGATATTTTCTAAAAATTACTAAATTTTGTAAATGAAAAAATATTTGAAAAAAATAATGATTAAAACGCAATCCCAAAGTTCATGCCTTCAACAAAGGTTTCAAAGCAAACTCAGTTGTTCCAACCCATTTATCTTCTGTTGATATCAGGCGCCAATATTGAGCTATCAAAGGATCAAAATTCACCGTCACCAATTTCTGCATCACAGGTGAAGGGAAAGTGGCACACTAAAGAGCAAAGTAGAAAGGTTCTGAAATACGTTCATATACTTGCCCACATTTTCAGTGGCGTACCCAGCGTGACGATTTTGCCTCGCTATGTAATTTTCGACTTTCGAGTTATTATAATATTTCATGTCTTCAGAAATTTATTGTTCTCACAGTCAATGCACGCCAAAATATTAGCATAGCGGGACAAATCGACAGGCTGGCATCAATACTGCCCACTTTAAACACATACGCTGAAGACGTTTCTTAAAACTTAATAATGCATATACTACTACATTTACTGGTTGCAAAGCGCCAGCTAACGCCAGACTAACGCTATAATCTATTCCCTGTAAATATTCGTAAGATTGCAATCTGTATTATTACCGTTGCCCAGTTTCTTCCATCAGTAGAGTATTGGAGGTTTAAATTTCCATATCCGTGTCTGACGTTATGACGCCAAGATGGTATAAAGCCTCCTGCCACTGTGACAGATGTGACAAACACCGGACGAACAAAAGTAGCTTGAACATAGTTCCCAGTCTTTGCCGTTTCACTTCCCCAACCACCCGTGTCTGATCTGCCATCAGTCAAATCGCGTGAAGTCACGTGATAGATGTCATTGTAGTAGCCATTTTCTTTAACTTGGTAGTCATTTAACGAATGAATCAACGCATTCGTGATTAGCTCTGTCTAAAATACGCGGTAGGATGATTATGAAATGTTATAATAAATGTTGTATGAAATTCTCTAATCTGCTACATTTTTTGTTTCAGTAAGGTTCTTCTACTGCTACGTCCAAGGCAGACAGGAGTTAAAGGTCTTTCAAGTTCTATCTTTTGTTTTATCTTCTTCTTTCGTGAATTTGAAGAGACATAAAAAAAAACTAAATGTTTATTTTCTGCACAAGAACACAAATGCAAGTGCCTAACCTCTTCGCGTGTAAGTCCATCAGGTCCTGGTTCACCCTAAAAATGCATTGAAATGAACTTTTTTTTCAGGTGTTGTGAAACAATTCATGCACACAAGATGTATAACTTAAGAGCAAGTTAGCTTTTTGTAAAACTCTAAAGAAGGAGAAAGCTGTAATAAAACTATCTCCAGGTTTTCAAGAATTAAAGTCCTTATTTGGAAGTCCTTGTTGTTAAAAACTTAAAAGATCGGATCTTCCGTCACGTTAAAAGGCCACATGAAAAAAATTAGTCACCTAGATTTTAAGTAACGTTATCAAGTGAAACCGCGGTAAACATATTAAGAAAGGTTTGCCTCTTTAAAGTTGAATACTAGTTTGTATTCGGACTGAAATAATCACTATAAGAATTATCTGTTATACATATAACAATTACATAAGATTTACCGTCTCTGAAGCCATGCAATTTGAAGCTGTATATTGTGGATCAGTGCAATTGTCTTGCATTTTTTGTCGGTGCATTTTATTTGTCGAGCGATCACTAACCTCGCGCGCGCCCCATAAACATAGAGTGACAATTGTCTAGTAGTTCAATACGAATATAGTTCACTGTGTTCGCGGTACGAAATTATATACTTAATGCGAAGGATTCGTATTCTAGCTTACATCTTCACCATCATTTCCCGTTTCTCCCGGTTCACCACGTACACCCTATAAAAATGCATGATATTGAGTATGCCTTTAATACAAAGGTTACTCGTTTTAGCCTTGAACTTTGTTTCCTGGACACTCGTGCAGAACCAGGACCGCAAACCAAGGGAGGGACACAGGACGAAAAGCGTGCCCTTAATACGGTTGTAAAGGCAGATTAATCGTGTATTTTATTGGTGTTTAGTTACACTTAATGCGATTTATTAAATACACTAAACACACCTTTAGACACGTTTAATGTTCAGTACTAAGTGTATTAACGGCGGGATTAATACTTAAGACTAAATGTTGATTAAAGTGTGCTAAAGGCAGATTTAATTAAGTGGATTAAATGCAGATTAAGGCAGTTTAAAGGAACGTATAATTGCCTTTAATATCTTGACTTTTTTGACTAAAGTCGATTTTAATCATAAATGTGCTAGTTGGCTAAAGTGTATTAAAAGTAGATTTAATACATTGTTTAAAGGTCGATAAAGCGTGAGATAAGTATAGATTAATCGCCTTAAAACATTGATTAAACCTTGCGTAAATGCACATTTAAACTGTCTTTAATTAACCTATTATATTCACAATAATTCAGCTTTTGTTAATTCGTTAGCTGCATGGCTGTTATACTTATATAACCTATTCCATGTAAATAAACGAAGAAACTGATTTCCATTCAATTACAAGCTCAACTCGCAATAAAACTTAAATTTCTAATCGTTATATTTGGTACAAGCTACACGTATAGCTAGCTATAGTCAAACAAATACAAGCATCACCAGTTCATTGCAAAAAAGCATTTATTTCCCTCTATACCCGTGTATTTACAAAAATTCATCATTTTAAATAAATAGATAAGTCGTAATGTATAGTATACATCCATGATTCCTATACTAATATTATTGCATGATGTGATGTTTCTGGTACGGTGAATAATATGGTGTTTTCAACAATTAAATTACAGTTCAGTGCATCGATCTCCAGACGCGCAATAGCCAATATATTTTCAAAAATATATTGCGCGTCTAGAGACCAATAAACAAGGGCACTGAACTTTGAGTTCGGAGTAAACATATATTTAAGAACCGACTTGGCCTTGTAGCTCATTTGGTAGAGCATCGGACTAGCATACATAATTATTTGCATCTTCTAGGATGTCCATCGTCAATGTACATGTAACTGAAATAATTTTGTAGCAATTTTTAACTAAAGAGTCTATCGTGACAGATTCAAATCATCCTCGGCTAAATATTGTGCTCCAACTGGTTCATTTGTCGGGTCTTCAGTTAGAACAACACACGCCCAACCAGGACAGTTGGCTGGTTTTGGGTTTACCGGAGGGTTCTCCTTCCTCTCTTGGTGTAACAGCTCGTTTGGACAATCCAGGTAGCGAATCCTTGTGGTTTTATCAAGCTTCTTCTTAGTTCGCTTTAATTCTCTGCTTTCCCAAGAAAGCTTCCGAACCTTGTAGTGTTAATCCTATTTGTTTCCTCGTCTACCTCGCTTTTTTCAGAGGACATATAGTCCATTCTCATGACGTCTGCCACCTTTGCCACTTTCGTCTGGTTCCAACCCATTTTCTCGATCGTTTTTAATCTTCTCGCTAGTTTCTAAAAGCAAATATCGTCGAATAATTATATTCTTACTTGGGTAAGTGTTTGAGATTTTGGTGCTAAGTATAGTCTCGCCTAAAATCCAGTTGCTAATTTTTCTTCCGGTGGTTTTTCTCTTCGGAGTTCGAGTCTTACATGTCAGTGTAGTAGGTTATCCAACTAAGTACTACAACCAACTTCTTGATGGGGCTTCGCTCGAAACATCGAAGAATTTTCTTATTTTCCATGTAGTTGCATATAACCTACTACACTGTTTAACTGTTACGTTAAAAGTAGTTAGATAGTCGTGTTCAATCAAGTATGAAGCAAAGCTAAAATAATCATTAAGTATCAACTTTTTTAAAAAGATATTGTAAAAACATACCTCCTCCTTTCTGCTCCTTCTCCTGCAAATTTGAACGTGTTGCTGTTCTGTTCCAAGAGCAACTCTTTTCTGTTTTGCTTTGCATGACTTGAAATACCTCTTAAACGCCTCTAAAACATAAAAAAGCAACAATCACCTTCTAGATTCAGGGCCAAACAACCGTTGGCCAAGGACAATTTTCCTGACCACCAAATTCATGTTGCAGTTCTTCTGCCACTCTTTTAAATAGCTGTGAATTTTGCTGAGAATCGGGGCTAGAAACAAGAAACTTAATTAGTTCAAAATTATTACTTGTGCTTAACCTGTGTAGCATACTGTCGAACTTCCATGCTCAGTTTGAGAGTTACTGTTCAAAAGATAGTGTTCTTGTACGTGGTACAAAGGGACACACTATTAAAATATACCAGCCTTTAGAATTTTATGTATGCCATTATGAATTTATTTTAAGGCCTTCAGAATTTTGCATAATTATCACATGTTCTGAATTCACCATATATCGCACAATTCTGAAGGCCTCACATAGAATTCTGAAGGCTTCAAATAAAATTTCAAAGACTGGTATAATTTATATTTATAGCATGTCAGCACAACTTCCAGTCTAATATGCAGTTTAACCCATTAAGTGGCAGAGCTTCCCCACTGACGAGTATTTCGTCTGGCAATAGACAAGTAAAAAATATAAGTAGGGTGTCCTGGGGCACATTGCCACTTAATGGGTTACCCATCAAGTTTGCGCCCTGATGCGCCCTACTTTGGCGTTTTACTCTGTCTACACCAGAACTATTTTACTCATTAAGGGGAGAGTGCTGGTGCTTAATTGGTAATATATTAATTACAATCAAAAAAAAAGATAAGACTCAATCTAAAATACTAACATCGGAAAGGTAAACAATGTACATCATCTCGGTAACATGACTTCACCAGTTTTATTAATATAAATTAGTATTGAAAGAAGTTGCCTTTATGCATTACCTTTCAGTTAATCTAAAGTGCATATTTTCATCAGCACTCCTAAGAGCCTTGAGTTTTCTTCGGACATTATTCTATTGAAGAACATAGTAAACACATTTCAAAATTAAATATCTAAAAATAATGGTTTTTAAACATGGTTTACAGTTCTTACAATTGATTTCTGTTAAACCTTTGGTTGGCTTTTAGTTGAACATTTAGTTGAAAAGTCAGCCTAAATTGGTGGCAATGTGCCTAGACATGCCCCCTGGATTTTCTCTGTGTAACACCAGACATTTTACTCCTTTAGTGTTATGGTACAAGCAGTGAATAGGATAGTAAATATAATTATATTACCATAATAAGGAGACATTTATAAAGACTTTAAAACATACAAAAGATAACTATATATAAACAAAGACCAATTCAAACAATATGGACATTTTTGTCCTCATATTATTAAAATCTGTTATTCAACATAAACGGTCAACGGATAAAGGCATAAAGCCATTCAGATGAAATGGTTAATAGGAAATAAATGAAACTGTATTTACTTACACTGCAAGCTTTGGGCACTTTATGTTTGTTCTGCCCGGTCTGTCTGACTCGTCTGCCAGGTGAAGTTGTCTGGGACAAGATGTCCATTTTTGTTTCAATATTTTTCAAAGCACTTTCATTGCTTGAAATGGTATTAGCCATTTGAGCTCTCAAGAGCCTGTTTTCCTCGACCACATTTTGTAAAAAAAACGTACTGATCGGGCAAAGACATTTCAGTGGATATGTCGAAAAATCCAGTGAAGTCAGATTCAGCTGTTTGTCGCGAAAGGACTTTGAACACATTGACACAGTTGATTGTTGAATTGTATGTAGATTTATAATTGAGCGCGATCACGTCCAATATTTCATTGGTTGTAGAAAACTTTCACAGCAGGATTCTATCGTTATCATATTTCTTCCGTTAGGTATAACACACGAACATCAAAGTCTTTACCCAGATAACCTAGAAAAGCACTGGCCTAAATGTAAATTGGGCTTCCTTACGAATACTAAGTCATTTAAAAATTGATTCCGTGCACATTTCCTCTACAACGATAATCCGCCATTGTTTTAGTCGCGTTATTTATAGAACAGACATATTATGAGTTGCCTACCCACCCTATAGGGGACAGTTATCCGATCGGAGACAAATATCATAAATTCATAATTGTTAAATAACGCAAAAGCGCGGGAAGCACACATTACGTACTTTGGCGCAATGACAACGAACGACAAATATTTTGAAAAGCCTTAAATTGAAAAATTCTGTAAAGCTTTTGGTGGTATACCTTGCGCAAAACCGGTTGAAATGGCACATTTTAACCAGTCTTTCCACACAGCGAGTGGCGCACTTGCTACCAGTGGAATGCGCAGCCTTCTGGAAGCTAAAAGCCCAGTGCCACCAGAGGCTGAACAGAATTGTTTTATACCTGCGAAGCAGCGTCGTCTCTCCAGACCAAATAATGTCGAGGAAGTGCGCCTTAAACGTCGCCGACGTAAACAGAAATTACGAGAAAGGAAACGTAAAGAGACCAGAAATGTCAAGCAAAGACGGCTGGAGGAGAAAATAAAGAAAAATATTGAGAAAGAATTGAAAGCCACAACGACTGAAATGAGATCGAAGGCCGAGTTTTTTTGGAGAAAGTGGAGAGAGGAAAAGTCTTTGCGTACTACGTCTCGTATGTAAGTACATGTATATTGCTCCTTATATTTAATTTGAGCAGTTTATAGAAGCAGGGTTATATCGATAGATTGCTAAAATTGTGTGTATTTACTTAATACTGTTATACTGCATTAAAGCACCCCACATTATATTCAGTATAATTCCCCCCCCCCTTATGGAGTATATTTGACCCTCCAGAATCTAAGCAATTTTGATTGAATAATATTAATATGTGCTTTTTTAACGCTGGGATTTAAGAGACCCCTTGCAGAAATGAAATATTTTTTTCCAACCTTAACAGAATTCATTTGGCAGTTCTGGCCACATCTTAGAAAACTGCATTTATAGGCAGGGGTTTATATTATTAAATGAAGTGGAACATTGACCAACAATGTAACCTAAGTATCATGCCCCAGGCCTACAGTATGTTTTCATTCGCTATGATTGATTGGCAGCGACAAATGAAGGAGGACCTGATATATTCTTTACCATGCTGCATGTAAAAAGCCAGATTCAGGCTTTTTTGTCTGATTGCCCGATTAGACAAAATCTTTTTGAATCTGCATTTGATTGAATGATGATACAGTGATCAAAACTATAATTCAAATTTTGTGTGAAATTTAAATTTCCCCTGCAACATTTTCATTCAATACTCAATACAAACTTTGCTGTGGGTGGAAAGCGATGGGATGAATGTTTGATTTGGGCCTTTGTACATAGGGAGTCTGATATAAATGGTGTAATAGTATAGTATTTAGAATCCTCTGTCCCTAGTACATTTATCTTGCATGATTCATAAAAACTTTAGACACAATTGACAATTCCAATTATGGACTGAAATAGACAAGGAGATTCAAATAAATCACCAAAGCTGGAAAAGAGCATACTAAAATTAGTATATTTTCAAAGTTTGGTTGTGAAATGTTGTAAATTTTAGCTCACTTTACTAGCTTTTTTATTCCGAAGCTAGAATGTGCTCAAAATGTTCTGCTCGTTTGGAGTTACTATTGTACTGGCCAATTAAGAAGAGAAAGCAATTTGAACATTAATGGGGTACTCATGAAATGCTAGCTACAGATATGACCATATGTCTCCAACCTTTTGAAACAATAGTTTGTGCTTACAGTAGCTGTCAATTCATGAAACAACACTGTCTTGAAGATCATTTGATCTTTATATTAACCCATTAAGGGGCAGAGCTTCCACACTAATGAGTAAAATTGTCTGCCGTTAGACAAGTAAAAAATAAGTAGGGCATGCCGGGCACATTGCCACTTAATGCGTTAACTCGAGAGATTGTCAGCTTTTGTAGTTAACACATTAAGTGGCAGAGCTTCCCCCTGACAAATGAAATAATCTGACATTAGACAAGTAAAAAAATAAGTAGGGGGCATTGCCACCTAATGCATTCAACTATAGTATACTGAATAGCAGTTATACAGCTGAACAATATTCAAGCCTAAATATTTTCAATATCAACCTGGCTATTATTTATTTAAATTTTTCTAGGTCTATCCATGAAATTGACCCAGCCAACTTGAAAATATTGTCAAGTGGATGAAAAAATAAAATTGGTGAGGGGACATTTGGCATCTGTGTAAAAAAGATGTACAGAGGGCATGTAGTTGCTGTGAAACAGTTTAAAAGCCATACAAGTAGAACTGATGTGGAAAAGGAAGCCATGATGATTAATTCATTTGATCACCCTGGTATGAAAATGATTAATTATTATGATTACAGCATACTTGAAACTTACGGCACTGTAACAGAGTTTACGTGGATAGTTGGGAGGGGTGTGTATATTCATATATTCATGTTCATATATACATGGATATATTAATACACCCATCCCCCCCACACCACCAATTATCAATGTTGGGGATAGGCCTGTTTACCGTTAGGTATGATCATGTGGAATAATGATTAGCAGTATGGCAACTCTTCTAGCAAAACTGATCCTGAAGTTTGTATTTTCACTCAAAATTTAAAGCTGAGAAACTTCTGCTTTAATAGTTGATTGTTCATGATCAACTTCATTCAATGTCTCTGTATTCAGATTGTGTAAAATTGTACTGTACATGGAAATACAAGAAGACTCATGACTTATTTTATTTATTTATAATTTCATAATACTTTTCTTATATAAGGTTTGCCATTTCTGTTTGGTATCAATGTACAATCAAAGCCATACATATTGGTTACTGAATTTTATGGAATTGGTGGACAGTGTGCTAATAATGATATAGCTGTATATTATGGACTTGCATGCAAAACACTCTCACCTTTGAAACTGTAACTGTTACAATCACTTTCTCCGTCTGTGTCGGATGAAGACGTTGAAGAATCTTTCTTCAAACTTCTCTTCAGCTGGCGAGATTGTTTTAAAGCCATATGTCTACGGAATGTTGTTTCCGAAACGTTTTGTTCGCAGTGGTCGCAAAACACGTAACTGTTCGCCTTATCCATATCGTATTATAACTGCCACGCACTTTGGCCAATTTATATAAACTTGTATATCAATCACTTCCGCACTTTATAATTATACTAATGAGCGAATTTGCACAATAAGAAGTCTTTCTTATTTCTTGTATATTGTCCGACAGTGTCTCGAAGTGCTTAAATTCAGGTGAAATAAAGGCGCATTATAGCATTACGTTACTCGATAATAACAAACGTATCAGATATCATCATGTTTATTTGTTACCATATAATTGTTGCAATAACAATATATTTAATCCTATTAAATTGCCGTCCTAACGGAATTAAAGTAGGTGTCAGGTTTTGTCTTCATTTAAAATCAAATTAAAGGTGATTAAATGCTATCTCTGCCTTTAATCAACATTTAAACAACTGGTTAAAGTTTATTAAACTATACGCGCACTAATGTCGGCTTTAACCCACTTTAAAATGCTCACTAAATGCAATTAAATCTATCGGTTTCCAAAAGAGATGTTTTATTCAAAATAAATGCGATTAAATGTAACTTTTTCTTTAATCACCTTTAGTCGGCTTATTAAAAGTTATAGATACGCATTTAATACCTTTAGTATTTTTGCTAAAGCTAATTAATGGCACGCTTTTCGTCCTGTGGGAGGTGTAGGGGAGGCGGCAAATCAGGCAATATACCCCGGGCAACAGTTTACATATATAGGGACGTACACTGAAAGGCTACATGCAGAAACAATAAACTTTGTCAAAGGCTACATGCAGAAACAATAAACTCATGTCTTTAGAAATTTATTGTTTCTACAATCAACAAGACGCCTGTTCTGGCGTTAACTCCGGCGCACGTGCCAGTCTTTAATATAGAGCTTCTGAACATAAACAATACAGTTCATAATTCGCATTTAGATGCCTTGCGAACCTAAATGTTCGATCGCGAAATTCAGAAGCACAACGTACTTTAAAAAGTATAGAAGTTCAATTGTTCAAAAATGTAAATAAACCGCATGATACATTCGCTTTGTCTTACACTTTGCCTCTGGAATTCGCGCTTATATAGTTATATTACATATAATACAAAAAATATATATACAAAAAAAAAACAACACCAAAACAAAACCGAGGCGAATTTTCAACTCCGTCGCTGACGCCGGAGTAATAAACACCAAAATATTAGCATAGCGGGATAATTTTCAGGCTGGATACGCTGTACTGGCTATGTTTGGATGGTAAAAGAAATTTTTAAGAACTTATAGTAATCACACATTAGTGAGGTGCGTTCGGAATGTGTTGATTTCGGTTTAACAAAAAAATTTCGGTTTAACATCAAAAACAAAAATGTTAACATTATAACGTCACAGCGTATGTGATTAATAGGTTACCCGCAAAATGAGTAATTTAACAACAGTGATGGCTCATATTCTTTGATTAACAACAAAATGTCAAAATAGAGCGAGCACATGGTCTCCAGTTACTATAACGACACATCACAACGAGGCCGAATCTGACATCGCAAATCTCGATATGACACGGCTAGGAAAGGAAACGTTCTCCTTCGTCCAACGCAACTAAGAAAATCGCATCCATCAGTTCAAAAGTACCTTCTACGAGCGCCTCGTTACCAGGCTACGCAGAAGAATACGATGGGCGTGCGGCATGCAATATCTCGTGGATATATTCTATAAACAGCGCAGGTAAAATACATCATTTCCCATCTCCTTGAATTACCCTCAAATATATTACCTTCTGACCTATCGGACCAGTTTCGCCACTATGCCCCTGAAACGAATTATTATAACAATTTATCAAATATACATTCAGGGCTGACTATATATATTAATATATTATATAAACATATACATTACATTGCAATGCACATATAGAAACAAAACCCTTTAGGTGGCATATATATTTCTAAAAAATTTCATTTATTTTTTCAGCTGACCTTTGGTCCATTAAACCCGTCCTCTCCAGGTGCACCACGTGAGCCCTAAAAGTAGAGACAAAACACCAATGAGCTTAGACAAGCTAACGGGGCCGAAATGAGCGGGATAATTGGAGAGGATGAATATTCATTCTGCTTTCAGAGCCATGCAGATATGAGAATATTGAATATATATAATTTATATGCACATAATTGTCAAATATAGCTTTGGCTCGTTACAATAATTTTTGCTTTAAGATAATTAATTCTCTTAAGAGTTTCTCTTAAGAAAAATTCTCTGAGAAATAATCCGGATGTGATTTTTTTTTTATTTTGCACTCAAACAGGTCACCCGCATATAGAAATATTCACATCAGCCACCTTGACATGTCGACACATAATTTTATACTGTATTATATTATTATAACGATTAAATGAAAACCAGGAAGTAGAATAGAATATTGAAGCAGAACTTCACAAGCAATGTATTTGGCTACCTTGTGTTTGTTCAAAAACTGGCAAATTCCGAATAAACAGGACATCTTGAGAGCCAAAATAATTATATGAATGAAACAACACGCAGGTTGAGACTGTAAAATTTCGACTTTGTTTGAAAGTCATCTTTTGACTCATATTTTTTATACTATATTTTTTATTCATATTTTGAATTTTGCAAAATGTCCCGCAGTTTATTCCGAATTTGCTTTTTAAAGCATTTGCATGTCATTTAAAGAAAAGAGAAGAACATTAAAATGATTGGTATTTCAATAGCGCTAAATAAACTAAAATAGCGCTGATTTAACATTAATTCTATTAGTGCGGAAGTTCAACAACAACGCCTTATTATATATTCCGTAAAGTGAAAATCAATAGAACAAAATTAACGAAAAACAATTGCGTTAACTTATTGATCATTAACATTTTCGCAACAACAATAGCAATAAATCAAACGACATTTAGCATAGAGAAATATTCATTAACGTAAAGGTGTACAAAGTAAATATTAGAATTCGCATTCTATCATATTTGTCTGTTCACACAACAGCAATATATGTGCAGTATGTTTTATCCCTAGATGTGTTCTCTTTCAAGTAGGTCTGCATGCATAAGTCTGCCCCATGCTGTTAGGCAGTGCATGCACATTCCGTTCAGCAGCTGCTATCAGAATTTGTTTTTGAAATTGAACGTTTTGTAGTGAACAACGTCTTCTCATCTGTGCCTTTATAGCTATATTTTGTTTGTAATTTATGTATACATATATTAGAACGCAGATGAGAGAACTTTGTGTAAATTAGTATTTCTTCACGCAAAATGTCGTTTGATTTATTGCTGTTGTTGTTCCGAAAATGTCAATGATCAATAAGTTAACGCAATTGATCTTCATAGACGTGGAGTAATACTGCCTTCATTTCCACATGCAGTTTCAGAAAAAGGAATAGAAATTCTATTCTCCTTTGGTAAACAAGGTCAGAGCTGTATATAAAACTAATTCAAACAGGGTTCCTTACACGTCAGATACGCGTTGTAGATTAGGTTATCGTAAGTTCGCTGTATTAATTAATATTATTATTATGTTCCACCGCCTCCAAAGAGAATATGATAAATGAGAGAATATTTGATTTATTATAGAGTATATTAAATCTATTATTAGCAATTTTAAACATTCTATACAACATACCTTGTGACCACGTTGTCCTTTTTCACCCTAAAGTATATATATTTTTTAATTTGTTAGACCAATTATTACCAGATTCTAGCTTAGGAATTTGATTCTCTAAATGATAACGGTTGGAAATGGATGGTGAAGACAGAAAGTTAGTGCAATATGCAAATTGTCCATTCTTTTAGTTCTTCTCGCAAACTGAACAAAATGCTGGGACAATTAGGGAAGACAATTTTCGTGTAATACCTACCATTTCTCCATCACGTCCTGAAGCCCCATCAGATCCTCGTGGACCTTGAAATTCCTAGGCGGTTCCATTCAAGAGCATGTCAGTAACGATACTCAAGTGGTGTTGTAGGTTAATTTCGTAAATTAAATTAAAATAAACTAAGCAGGCGTCTTGTTATATTCAGATCGTATCAGATAATATTATGCGCTAATATACACATTTGAAATAACACTGGGCTATATGATCATATTTAAATTAAGGCATATTAATAGAGAACACCACATGCATGCATGGATGAGCGCGAAGATATGGAATTTATTTCAGCGAGTGTTCAGAATGATTCTCGCACGAATGATTCTCTCACGCAGAGATTTCAGCAAAATTTTTTTGAAAAGCCAGGCCCCATAGTTACTGCTGAGAGACATCAGAGCAGCAACTATTGCCTTATAGTTACAGGTGATTTTTCAATTATGAAATTATACTAAAAAGTATATGATATGTATTATTTTTCACATTGCTCGGTTTTCTTTGTTCTTGTCGGGGAAAATAATTACTAAGAAATTCTAAAAAGCATATAAGAATATAATATAAAAGAATATATAAAAAGCATTTCCATTCTATTATTATACTATAAATGCAACCTCGGCAATGCAATCATTGTGAAAAATAAGTACGTTATTTTGAAGCACCTCGGGGATATGCGTTTACTCCCCTCGTTACCTCAAAATAACCTATATTGGAATCGATGCCATGCATTTTCAATATTTTTGCCTGCGCATTCTAGTCCGCCTTTATCATGTGGTTAATGACATACGTAAAAATTGAAAGAAGTATATCCAGGATATCCTCTTTCACCCTGGTCACCCTAAAAATTAAATTTAAGGTGGAGTGAAATTAACATAATTCATATAATTATACACGTCTAATCCATCATTTAAAGATAATGATTATATAAATGATAATTATATACAATTATTCGAGAGTGAAAATGAGGGCACTGTGTTCCATTGCCCCAGGGTTTCCTGGATAAGACATGATTCAAAAGCCTAACGACGCAAACAAACAAAAAGTAGATTCTTAAATAATACTAACCTGCGGTCCAGGCGAGCCAGGATTCCCGTGCTCTCCCTGTACTATGGTAAGTCCAAAAGCCTAGAGAAAAAAGGTTGATGGGGTTTAATTTTTTTCTCCTTCTGAAAGGTAGGACGGAATTTTTGACCTGAAAATAGAGGTGTGTTATTTATCGTTTGTCTCTCCAATAAATTTCAATAAAAAAATTTCAAACTGGAATTGCAAATTGTAAGTGAAATGGGGTGATTGATTACACGTATAGTGCCTTTATCTCCTCCCGTGCAGTCACCTTCAGGAGTGGAAATATCGCGTGTCACAAAACTTTGCCAATGTGAATTCTCTCGCGAGTTGGGATCGCACATAAGTAAGTGCGAATATAAAGCAGTATATAATTATGCATTCGCATTGGATAAAACCGCAGTACGATGGTACGTGTGTGCTCAAAAAATCATCCTGACAAACAAAAATCGCTGAAATCAAGATGCATGCACGTCAAGATCACAAGACATGTAAAACAAAAGCTGGCTATGTTACTGGGTATTCATATATGCTTGCTCTAATAAGCGTAAAAGCAATCACTATAATAGATGAAATCAGCCAAACATGAGATGAATATATGAATACTCCCCCCCCCCCAATAAAGGTTTTTGGTATAGCAGTGGTAAGAGCTATATACCGGAATGCTAGTGTTGTTTCGTATCAACCCGAGGTAATTACTGCAGCTCTAACTTGGTATGACATTGGTTGGGGTTTTTTAAAAGTTTTTTTTGAAAGTTTAAAACCAATTTAGCGTTGCTATTAGCGTATATTTTAGTGAATTTGAAACAAGCCGTGTAGTTATTGTGCCTAAACCTGGAGCTTCCACTGGGCTTGAATAATTCCAATTTGTTATTTTCGGACATCTTGTCAATACATTATAATTATAAGATAACTTTAAGAAAAGTACTTTAAAATAAATTTTGTTTTTCTAATAGTTTTTCAAGCGTTTATCCTTTTCGCAGTTAAAAGGCACCTCACAGGGAACTATATATAATACTGCCGCTCTCTCTATATCTGTGCATGTATTAAGCATACCTTGCTGCTTTTTATGCACACAACCGACTTGTTGACTCCTTCCAACTTTCTCACTGCTTGCCCGTCTGACGTAAAGACGCTTGAGAGAAAGATAAGAAATACAATCATCTTGCGAGTGAAACACTGATTGATCTTGCTGCTTGTTTGGGTTTAATGTTCAATGGATCAGTTTAAATTACAAGTATACATCCATGGGAAGACATTTGCAAATCATTATAGTCTGCGATATGGAAATGTCAATGACCCTGTTGACAGCTCCTCCAGATCAACATCGACGCTCCTGATGTAATTAATTTCACACAATGCAGGGTCAACGGGAATTTCACCTCGTTGTTTCCCGAGATATTTCAGCACTCAGCAGCGTGACCTTCCCTGGTTTTATTTGCTCAACCAGTTAATAGTACTGAAACGTAGTTCAGGACTGCGTTCGCACGGGACCGGACGAATTTTGTACCGCGTGCTCAAATTCGTCCGATTTCCTCGTGTGAACACGCAGAACCGGTGATATTTTCATTTTTAACGCGGGAGCACTATATCTATCGGGTGAAGCAGTGCGTGGTTCTATATTTGTCGTTTATTATCCCTTGTTTGAATTGCATTCGACGCATATACTGTAGACCATACAATATCTCAAAAACTTTTGCTACTTTTCCCTATTTTTTATCTGCTTGAAAATTAATTGGTCGAGGAAAGAGGATCGAGTAAAAAGGAACCAGTGTCGAGAGTTATAGTTTGATATAGTATTAAATTTAAAGTTAAAACTGAGTGGGCTGAGAAGTCAATCGAGGGCGAGTGGACACAGGATATTATAGCTGATTATTAATTAATTAAATAGAGGAAAATTTCTTCCTATTTCACAAGCAGGTTTGTCTTCGAGAAACTAATCCTTTTACGCGATCATGTTATGTCAATTTGTTATAATCAGTTTGACGCACATTTCACAGTGTTCCCATTTTTACTTCGAATTCCGATTCGTTAATTCTCATAGCTCAGCTTACGGAACACCTCTTCAACTGTACTTTCGCTCAATGCTAAAATAATTATGACATTGACAAATAAAATATAGAATAAAATATTGAGAAGTATTGAGAATAATAATGTTCTTTGAGCACAAAGATGTTCCATCGAGGTAAAGTAATGATCAAGCAACAAGACCTTCGTGAGCAAGGAGGATGGAGGGTGTGCATAGCAAACAATTTGTTGTTAAAAAGCATTACATCTTCTAAAGTTCTAGTATTCTACCTTAATGTCAATGAAATGCAGCGTGATTAAGGAGATCGTGTATATATTTTAGGCTATTTAGCCAAGGGCTGTTTTCCACTTCGCTTCACTTCACTTGCAAAGCTTTCCACTGTCACGCCTTTTTACGTGCGGAAGTATTCAGTAAATGCTTTCAAATATTATTATTATTATATACCACTTGTCAAAGCTTGGTGTTCGTAGCATTTCATTGGTCGAGAGCGAACACATGAGAGTGACGAAATTTTGATGTCACCAGCGCCACCCCCTGCAGAGTGAGATAACCTGTTATCTCATGGGAAATAACAACTTTAATCACGTGCGGCGCACCTGGGCGTACGACCTTCAGACTGTTTATCCATTTGAATTATTATGTTTTTAATGAATAGATATTTCGTTGTTTACCTTGTCGTTTAGTTTTTCTTTGTAAAAAACTTATAATAAAAAACTTATTTACCGAGAACTCAGAAAACATTAGTTTTGTGGACCATTGTCTCAGGTCCACAGAACATAATGTTTCCTTCGTTCGCAGTAAATAAGTGTTAATTATTTAACAACATGGTATTGTTTAACACATGGGTCAACAAATCCATACTAAAATATGCGGAAAACTAAGTTGTTTCGATTTCTAAACCTAGATTTTTCAAATATGGCATATTATAAGGATTTAGAATTTTACGTGCGCGTGGTGTACGTGCGTATGAAAAACCCAACAATGAAAATTCATTTATGACAATGATATAAATTAATTAAGATAAACACAAATCCATCAGTGTATGCAACCTAATATTGGTGATTCGAATTTATCATTGGCGTCAACAAAGCAGGATATCCAAAAAAGAGGATGTTTTTAGTACATATCTGATAACATTTTTTTACGGCGGGTTGAGCCATTTGAAGGAAAATTTCTTCCCTTTTTTCTAGACTAAATTACAAGGCATGCATCCTAATGTACTAGTAATCCAATCGTCAATTCAGCATATATACAGGGGCCGTTTCGCCCATTTGTATAACGGTGGTTATTAGTTCAACTGAATAGAATGCATTCAACAATCGAACAACATGTTTTTAACCTTAAACCCTTAATACAAAAATTCTATTTATATACAACTGGTCTACATATTCAGTTCATATAATAATCAAGCTCATGCAGTCACTCCGAATAGAACAGAGATGTTTATTTTGACTTATCCACTGTTTAAGTCAACGGGCTCAACAAGCTTAACAGACCCCAGGACAACAACGCGGCTTCACTCTCTCGAGTTAATGAATGCTTGGATAAAGAGTTTTGTATAATTTTTTGTTACTCCAGGGAATTTAATGTGGTATATGATGTTAAAAACTGCCGAGTCTCTGTTTGGGAGCAGCTCTAACGAGGCTAAGAAGCGTTCGTTGCGTCTTTAAATGCAAATTTTGGGAAAAAGCACGAAAATCCAACCTAATTGACCTGTGTAAAGCCTGTAGTGTTCCTATATTTATTTTATTAAAAGCGCCTGGGAACGAGGCTGATGAAAATCTGTGATCTGACGCGTTCTAAAACCCCCATTATTAATTTGTTCTCTCCAAATTAATCACTTGATACTCATTTCTAATACTTTAAAAAATAAACAATTATTAGGTCAAGAATTATTCAGGCCAAAGTCAATGTTTTCTGTCCAAGTGAAGCTGAGCCGAATAACATTGACCGAGGTCTAAATTATTACGTAAATATACAATATATAAATACAAAATATTGAGATATGAGAATTAACCGGTGCTTTCTGACCAATGAAGAAAAACAATACACACAAAATGCATAATAACAGACATTATAATTATTTGACAATTAATCAGTGCAATGCATATAGTATGCATATATGTTAACTAGATATAGTTGCTAAATACAAAAATTTAATTCATATTCAATTCAATATTTAAAGCATATATCTATATAGAGAAAAAGTCCAGCCACTTTGAAAGTTTAAACTCCAGATGGTTTCACTAGAGGTTTCAAGGCGAACTCAGTTGTTCCGATCCACTTATTCTCTGTTGAGATCAAGCGCCAGTACTTAGCTGTGACTGGTGCAGAAAAATGGCGAGTGACCGTTCTGTTTCCAAATGGAGTCTTGATTTTAGCAATCTAGAAAAAGGATACATGTATATGTTTTTGTATATGTTTTGTATTATGTTTTGTGTATGGGGGTTGATATAATTATAATACCACTCCGCGAGCGAATGCCCTATGAGATCAAGGTTGATCATGTAACATTTTTGGGTTTTAGTTTATGAATTTCATTTTCTCAATAACGATTTTCAGATATAGAGGGCTCAAAACGCAAGCTAGCTACTTATGGAGCTCCCAGTATATTTCTGTTATGTTCTGCATCTGTGTTATGCACATCAACGTATTGAGCAATCGATTGCTATATCCCTTAGAACAACTCATTTACCTTTTCCCATTTTTGTTCATCCGAAAAATATTCCAAATCCATATAACCATAATCTTCTCTGATTTCATGGCCCCAAGACGGTACAAATCCTCCGGCTAACGTAACCGAGGTGGCGTAGACAGGATGGAAATAGTTTGCTTGAATATAGTTCCCAGTTTTCGCTGTCTCGCTTCCCCAACCGCCAGTATCTGATCTACCATCAGTCAAATCACGTGATGTTACGTGATAGAGATCGTCAAAGTAAGCGTTTTCCAAAACATAGTAGTCATTCAATAAAGACTTTAAGACCTCTTCTTTTATCTATATTGGAGTGGGAAGGATGTAGAATGTCAGATATCGAAACTGTATTCATCTTATAGCTATGATCTATATGTGCCAACTCAAAGACATTACTTTGCAGACATGTGCAATTCTATATTGGTTTTAAAGGACAATTTTTCGGTGGTCTTATTTTAGGCCAATCGTGAAAATTTTCCCGATTTTAGCTTTTTCGACTGCTTAAATTCATTGACTACGAAAATAGTTATGGCAATTATATATCGAGGATATTCATATGACAGCAGGTAAATATAACCATAGTGATAAGGTTATACGCAAGTCTTTATCTTGAAAGTCGATGATGAACATGCTATATACTGGTTGTCATTTCGAATTTCGAGAGTAAATAAAGAAAAAAGTAAAACGCAAACAACTTCTCTAGTTCACTACTAAATTTCAAAGTAATTTTGCGAGCTTTATAAAAAAGTTCGTAAAGAAAGGTTTTTCCAGTTTTCCATGCTAGAATAAATGTTTCAAAAGATTTCACCTTGGGGCCTGTTTCTCCAGGTGATCCACGCTCACCCTACCAATATGAATAGCAATATTGCAAACATAAATATCAACTAAATCACATGAATAGTCGGTCATTGAACAGAAGAAAATGCAGAATACTTATGCTTGGTAGTATCATGCGCAGCAATGAGGCCAGACTAATGAAAGTTTAATCTTAAGTTTAAGTTTAAGTACTAATGATATCGCTTGTACTTGTACATTTCGCATTAACTTTACCTCCATATCACATATCCATAATTTTTGTTTCGATTAAATGCGGTTTTCTTCTGTTGATCGATGTGAACGAGTGAGTTAGTTGCGATTGTTATACATCAAAACTAACTACATGTTCAAATTTACCAAAAGAGGAAAATCGTATTGAATATCTTAGCAAAAATCACGGGCCTAAAAATTGCGACGTGTTCTATTTGTGAGCATGCAGGCTATGTGGATTCTAGAACGTAATGGGTAATTTTTGAATTTAATTTTAAAAAAACATTCCGATCAAGTATAGGAAAAACTGTGTGAATTGTGAAATACTTTATATATACTGTAAGCAATGAACCCATGCTATTCACATCGCTGTATGTTATTGAAATGGATTTTATTCCTCCAACGTGCATTTGTGTGTCGTATCGACGCGCATGCATCTTTATATGTTTTCAGAAGCGCGTGCATCTTTATACGCAATGCTCTAAAAATATTTCGGACGCCAAATGCAGAGAGTGAGACTTTTGGTATAATGTCTATTCTGTGAATTTACCCTCTGGCCGTTGGTTCCTACATGTCCAGGATCACCCTAAATAAAGAAGAGCCGGTTAATTGTAACTGATATTGTAATTTCCTCAGAAATAAAACGACTGGAGAACTAAGTACACACGTATGCACCGTAATTTAGACTATAATAGACAATTATACAAAACAATATACTGAAAAACAATACGGATTGATTTTAAGCCATATATAGCTCGGATATTGCATCTTTTGTAATGGACAGATGATGTAATCACAGTTTAGTTTAGTTGTGTCGAGAGGACGAGGTTACTGACGGGGTAATTACCCTAGGGCCAGAAAGGGTCCGGGCTACACTTTGTTCAGGACAAAAGTGTTGCTGAAATATTACAATTACAGTGAAAATTTAAAATTCAACGATGTTTACCTGCTCTCCAAACTCTCCGCTGGTTCCTTGCTCACCCTGTATAATATATTATTATAATTATTCATCATAGGAGAACACGCAAAATGATTTTTTAAGCTTAAAAAGGCTTTCAGTGCATTGCAATGAAATGGAAAAAATGAATATGCCGGCATGCATGCAATAGTTGTATTAATCAGGGGACTTCACCACGGTAATATAAATGCGCATATATACCATTCAAATTATAGCTTGTAGAGTATTTGTTTTCATTCTGATTAATGGATTAGTGGATCTATTCCAGAGTGTGTTTAATCGAAATACGGGCTGGTTACTCGCTATGTCACGAATAAAATGGCCATATTTGTTCACGAACACGGTTGAGATATTTGTAGAAATTAATTATTATCATGATTTGTCGTGGTTGACCGCACGCGTGATTTTGGAGGGCCTGCACGTTGCACTGGCACCTGGATGTAAACTTTAGAAGGAAACGGACAATTAAGAAACATGTCTATTTTGAGTTATAGTTTCTATATCGAAAATAAATAACATCATATAAAAAGTTACGATTAGCTCAGCTTTTCACAATATTGACGCTTCGTGCAACAGGCAATCGGATATTATTAATGTTTATTGATTATCAACTTTTAAAAACATATTACCTTCATACCTCGCTTTTTGTTGTTGATGCCATCAAGGCCTGGAGCTCCCTGCAATGCGATATATATCGAAACACGAACTACTACTTATATAGGTGCTCTGTAATTTAAATGTGATTGGTTCATTCGAGTCACATGAAAAATGGTTGCCCGCATATTGTCACAAGAAAGTGTTTTTTTAAATGAAATTGTAGTGTGACATGTATGTTTTTGTTCCAATACAACAAAGCACTTAATGTACACCACCTCAGGAAATAGTGAGTTTTGGTTTTCCATCGAGTTGCAATGTTTCTCTCGATTTCGTCTCGGGAAAACATTCAGACTCTTCGGAAAACAAAACTCACCATTCCAACTCTTGGGAAAACAAAACTCATTATTTCCCTCGGGAGCATACATTAAGTGTATATTATTTGTTCTTAACTATGCGATGACCTTTTGTGTAATATAAATGCAAGATAATTAAATTTTATTCAGAGTCTATATGCTGAAAACGTTATAAAAAATTAATTATAAGCGGTGCCTCTCATTCTTAATAAATAAAGTTTCTGAAAATTTTCTGGAAATACAGTACAAACTACTGAGATCATATAACTCACAGTGATTCCAGGTTCTCCACGGTTCCCCTGAAATCAAGTTTATCAAAAAATCAGGTTAAAAATGAATATTAACCTGTGTCCAGCATTTATCATTGTTGCCAGTATAAGTTTCGAGTCCGCAGTAAAATCGTCCTTGAAATATGATTAATGTAAAATTTCGACTCTCGCTTTCCTTCAGCACATACATAGAAACAAAGACCAATAAAGAACACTACAGGTGAGATATGATGTATTGATGCTTTTGCAAACAAAATTCTTTCTTCATATATTGCTTTGTCGGACATCTGAACCGATAACTGCTCAAATATCATTTTTTAGACTACAGAAAGGAGCAAGAATGCATTTGGAGGACATGCAACTATATCATACTGTATGACGTAGCCGTACATGCAATGTGTTTGTTCCGCACATATACCCTTGGGATTTATGATTCATATTCATAAGTTGATTTTTTAATTAAACCTAAGGTAAATTTTATCCCAACTGTATTTTGGTTTGACATTTTGGTTCAATTACTTCCTACCTTTCTTCCTTTACGCCCTGGTTCGCCATCTACACCCGGCCACCCTTCATTACCCTAAAAATATTTAAAGTCGTCCTTCGAAGTTCGACATAATGTATGAACAACAAGCTATAAAGGGTGAGTAAAAAAAACTGATCCCTTTGAAATTCAAATTACCCGCATAGCAGCTGCAATATGACAGAAGATGCCTAAAATATCTCATGGGTATAATGTTCCTTGAAATCAGCCCTAATTATATAATCAGCTAAAGTCATGCAGCTAAACTCTTAAAACGACTTACTTGAGTTGGGATAACATGATCACCAGGCTCACCTCGATTACCCTATGAAATGTAACACAAATGCGAAATGCTGATTTCCTCCTTCAAAGCAATATAAGCGACGATGACCCACTAACCATCGAAAAAACAAGTTTAGATTACGAACGTAAGCGGTCGGATACCTCCGAGATGGTGCGACAAGTCACCGGACTCGTTCGCCGGCATCGCTGATACAGAATTAGACAATATCACCTCCGATCCGGGTGATACACTCTGGTAATAAATTAGTCAACATACCTTTAATCCAGGCGGCCCCGCTGGACCATCTCTTCCTTTTAAAGCGTTTAACATCTGCATTCATAAATAAAACAAAGTTTAACTGCACGTAATAAAAGCATTTTGCTGGATTAATATTAATATATAATGACAAAGTTTTTTTTTTCAGAGAATGCCGTCGCAGCTGTTACATGTAAAATATGCTATTTTTATTCCGAATGCACAATATGGCTTCAAGTCTTATACAAAACTTCATTTCGTGATTAGAATCGGGGGTCATCAGAATCTACTTAAGATTAAAATCAATTTAAACCCATTTTGTGTCCTGCAAAACATATCTGCTGTATTTAAATTTAACCCGGTTATTTCGCAAACCTACCTAATCTAGCACATGCAGAAAGTAAACGTCATTTCAAAACTGGCTTCAGTTGCGTCTTGTGTTATACTATACAATAGCTGTTTATTTATACAAACCTCATCCTCATTAACACAGACCACGCTGTCTTTTGATATATTTTCTGATACATGTTCTTTAAATGCTATTGCGAACAAAAGAAACTGTACTGCAAGCTTCATGGCGGACGGAAACATTATTACTATGTATTCAGCATAAATTCGTTTAAACTCTTTTGTTTTGCACTCCAGCTGAGTATCTGTTGGCGATAGGTAAGTCTGTTAAAAACCATTTTTCCGGATACGGGTGTTGGCATGATATCAATTAAGGTACAACAGGGGGTAATAAATCTTATTAGGCGCGTTATCAACACAAGCCTGAATGGCTATGAAAAAGGGGAAGCTTTTCTGTCGTTGAAAACTGGAACGCACTTTCTCAATCGTTAACGAGGATCGAGGCTCGAGGAAGCAATATAAACAATTTGGCAAAAGTATACCGATCGCGCACTGAATTTTTTCTTGCACCGCATGTATAACCTTTGCATCGTATACTATACTTATACGCGCTTATGAGTTTTGAAAAGCAGCGTGGATCCATAGAGATAGGTGATCGATGAACCATCAAATATTTATGTACCTCGCTTTAACTATGAATCCACGACCGCGGTCATATTACTAACATTAATCAATCACCATGATCGATTACAGTAGACGATTATAATTTACCCAAAAAACTTCCTGTCTTATTCCTGTCTAATTTTTGAATGCGTTCACGCTGTCATCGCCGGACACTGGGTCACCAGGGTCTTCTTGCACCTACAATATATTTAACCTAAACGCCTCACTGTGTTCACCTTAACAATTTCAGCCCATCTCGACGATACTGTTGTGTTCTAGACTGAGATAATTATGAATGAAATTGTTTTCTTTCTTCTGTTATTGTCGATAACCAACGACATTGCTGAGTCACGAAACAGTGTCAACACGACTGATCAGAAAACGATTTGTGCACAAAGATCTGATGTGAGTATAAATAATACGTGCACTTCTTTAAGTATATAGCGCCACTTTATCAAAGCTCGTTTGTGTTAAACCTGCGTATGAAGTTCCAATTTGCTGTTTTTATGCATTTTTTCTCAAACATTTTTGAAAATAAGCGAACGGCTGACAGTCAAAAATTAAAGTGGTATCGGTGTTATTATTTTGGGGGCTCAAGGAATGGAGTAAGAAATCTTACCTTCAGAAATTTTCCTGAGCTAAATCATTTATTGCATGTAATATATATGCTAACAAATCAATTGTTAATATTTTCGTTTCACCTCACAGTTTCTGGTCAGTTGTCATGCTAATGTCAATATCACTAGTTAATTTTGTCTGGTTTATGTGGTCATAGGTTGAAAACAGATTTAAATTTGACCAGTTCTATGTGTTCACAAAGTCATTAAGTTGAATTTTGCATACTACCATTACGTGTGCATTGCGCACATATTAATTGTTTTAAATTTTGAAATTAGCGTAACGATTATTTAAGGAGCCTGTAAAATGGCTTTCGTATTTATAATTACCGGTATACCAAAAAGAACACTAGAGTTCCTTCGCTGTAGTATTGAAACTATCATTTTAAGCGCGTTTAAATGAAATTCAAATACCTGTAACCTAACTCTGGTCGAAGCCGCTTTTCCAAAAGGCAGTGTTCCTGGTGGAAATCGCTTCCCAAAACAGTAATATTGTCGCATAATTGCTTTAATTGCTTCCCAAAGTAAAACAGTATTGTTGATCGTAATTGCTTTAATTGCTTCCCTATGCAAAACAGTATTGTTGATCTTAGTTACCTTAATCGCTTCCCCAAATAAAACAGTGTTTTTGATCGTAATTATTGCTTTAATTGCTTCAACATGCAAAACAGTATTGTTGATCGTAATTGCTTTAATTGCTTCCCTATGCAAAACAGTATTGTTGATCTTAGTTACCTTAATCGCTTCCCCAAGTAAAACAGTGTTTTTGATCGTAATTATTGCTTTAATTGCTTCAACATGCAAAACAGTATTGTTGATCGTAATTGCTTTAATTGCTTCCCCAAAACAGTTTTGTTGATCAAAATCGCTTCCCCAAAAAACAAGTTAATTTTCACGCAAATGGAATATGAAACCATAACTGACAGAAATGCTGTGGGTGACGCCAGAGTCTGAGCACGGAAAAAAGACCCTGGGTACGAGGCTGATGCAGTCGTTAGATAAATATGAAAGATATTGAAATGTTATGCATGTACAAACAAAAACATGAAATTTAAAATTAATTTTGCTAAAGCAGGAATTTTATGCATATAAATTTTATTGGCTTTGTCGTGCAGGAAAAACTACAGATAATCCTCCTAAAAATCTAGTTCTCCCCAGAGTAATCTAATCTCAGATTTTATTGTGCGAACGAAAGTTTTAAAAGTTCTCATCTGGAAAGCGGTCACAATATATGGATATCTCACTGAAAATTTTTATTATAATAATATTGTTAAATTTCAGTTTCTTAATAGTGAACATACACAATTCAACGAGAACGAACGACTATACAGTTATATTAATAAGTGTTATGTTAATATAAAACAAAACACATTTGTGCCAAACACATTTATAATGTGTGCTTGTACACATTTATAAATACATAATTATAAAGATCTTAATTTTTGGAGAGTCAAAATAATCTCGAAATGACGTTCAACCATTACACATTTGATGTTTAATTAGGGTTTCTATTAAAACTATTGAAATCACCCATAACAATGCAATTGTTAGAGTTTGAATGCCTAAGCACTCTGTTGGGACCCACAGGTGTATAAATGTTTACTATACGCATTTTTATGCATGCATATGATGCAGTAAAATTTGCTTGTACGCAAAAATGATATTTATTAAAAATATTTACAATTTACAAATATGGATAACAATATTTAAATGTGCATCTCAAGGACCACGACCTTCGACATATTCCCCTTTCTCTAGCAACACAAAGCATTTAGCATTTTATAAGTTTCATTAAATCCCCACGGGCTGAAATTCGTGAACACGGCATTCAAATTTTAACAATGAGTGATTTCAATAGTTTTCGGTTTTTTTGGGACACCCTGTATAATTATTCACATGTTTAATCATGCAATTTTTGTTTGGCTCGACCTTTTACAAATAAATTGAATAGCCATGCCGTAATTATGCTGTGTTTTCTTTGGGGATTCATCCCTATATACATTCATACGGTTTAAGTGTTTTCAAAACAACACGTACAATTGTTTAACTTTTCCGTAGACAAATCGTCTGGATTTGAAGTCTTATTTCAGTTCCTTGTCAGTGAATTGTTTATGCTAATCGGCTTGGAACGGAATAAAATGATCACATTCGTCTAATGCTGGTTGAAAATTCATATTTAAGGTCTCATCTAGTATAGCCACGCGAGTTTAAACGAGTGCAGACAACTGAGTCGCTCGGTTAAACTGAAGAGGCTACTCGTTCTTTCTCGTTGAATTGTGCATGTTCACTAATAAAATATGAGATTTTAAAGAAAATAAATGTTGTTTTTAAGCTACATTCTTGTTTCTAACAGACACTTAAACTATTGTATGGACACGATGGTGAACCTGGTGTGCCAGGAGCAAAGGTACGTGAAATAAGCTTTGTCTTTCAAGGCGACTCGTTAAGTTACGAGGTGCATTTTCTTTGATTTATATGTATGACTTTACCATATTCACTTAGGGTGAGCAAGGCCCAAAAGGCTATGCTGGAATGGTATTCTTTAAGGTACGCGAAAGAGGAAATAAACAATTTTGGGGTTCACGATAGGAAATAGAGAGGAATTTAATAAATACTTGTGACATAACCGGGTACATAAGCAATCGAGGGAAGGTAAAATTTTGCAACCATCAAGCTGCCAAGATGATCGTTGAAACTTCTGGACTCTGGTCTCCGATTTGTCGAGCGACTCCAGCGTATTACGTGATGACTACCAAAGAGAAATTTTAAAATCATGGCAAGTTTTGTCGTGGTTTTTATTCAGCGACAGCCACCCAGCCTGAGAAAATATTCAACTAAGGCGTTTGATTTTTAAAAATAGCGAGTTAGGTTTCTCCTCAGCTCGCTCACACTAGTAATCATTCTGGCAGTGTTTGTTCAGCTAGGACAATGATCCAGCTGCTGCGTGTCAATGTTATCAAAACCGTCTTACTGATGAAAATTTGGGGCTTTTTATTCAATAGGTGTGTGTTTCTGGTGTTTGGCAGAATAATAAATACGCTGCAATGCGATATTGCTTATCCAACCACCCTTTTTATTTAATTAGGTATTGTTTTGTGGCGCGATTAATTGCGATAAGTCACAATGCAATAACTATACAGGGTGTCCTAAAACTATTGAAATCACCCATAACAATGCCATTGTTAGAGTTTGAATGCCTAAGCACTCTGTTGGGCCCACAAGTGTATAAATCGGGGTTGCCATAAGCATTTTTATGCATGCATATGATGCAGTCAAATTTGCTTGTTCGCAAAAATGATATTTATTAACAATATTTACAATTTACAAATATAGATAACAATATTCAAATGTGCATCTCAAAAACCATGACCTTCGACATGCCCCCTTTCTCTAGCAACACAAAGCATTTTATAAGTTGCATTAAATCCCCACGGGCTGAAATTCGTGAACACGGCATTCAAATTTTAACAATGAGTGATTTCAATAGTTTTCGGTTTTTTGGGACACCCTGTAGATACAAGCAATGCATTTATTTCAGGGTCCCCGCGGACCTCCTGGAGGAAGAGGTACACCGGGATACAATGGTATGCAGGTAGGATAATTAAAATTCAAAATATTTAATAATCCTAAATACTATTATTGTACTCCTAAATTTTCCTATTATTCTCTTAAATACTCCTATTATTCTCCTTAATACTCTTATTACTTCCTAGATACTCCTATTACCTCCTAAATACTCCTATTGCTCTCCTAAATACTCCTATTATTCTCCTGATAATATACCTATTATTCTCCTGAATACACAGCTATTACCTCCTAAATACTCCTTTCATTCTCCTAAATACTTCTATTATTCTGTTAAAAAATGTGAATAAAAAATATATAAACCAATGAAAGGCTTAAATTGAATGCCACAATGTAACTAATGCGAATCTAAAATGTACACTATTTACACACACGTGCGTTAGCTATAATAATGTATTCAAATTCCAACAAAACCTTCATTTCAATAGGGGATATATTTTTGAGAGATACCCTGTATATACAGTGGCGGATCTAGGGGTGTGCAGAATAAATTACACAGCTTAATTTTAAGTTCAAAACACCTTAAAAAAACACTATTGGTTCTAGATTTAAAAAGGATATTTTTACATTAAAATCTACCAATGCGATTCCCACTGTGTATGCATACCGAAGTTTCTCTCGAAAATTAAGAAAAATTGCTTATAACTTATATGATTAACGTTCAATAAAATGAATAAAAAGCTGTTTGTAAAAGCTCTATTTGCAAAATCCTATGCTAAAAAATGATTGGTTCAAAGTTTAGTTGGAATTAAAAAGTTTCAAATTATGATAGGTGAACGAACGTCAGATTTGTAAACAAAGCATGTGCCAATAGCACTCAAATTTGCCAGGAATGGTTCGTAATGACCCTCGAAAGGTTTCATACATGATTTTTAAAAGTCATTTTAAACGATCGCGATTCTAACTAAATTTTCCTTGTGAATACCTTCATGTATGCAGTTTTTTTTTCAGGGAATGAAAGGAGATCCTGGTGAACCGGTTTGTTTTGTTAAACAGTTTTTGCTTAATATTGTAATGACTGGACGCGGAATGCGCATTAAATGATTCATGAGAATGATCCCCCTGATGAGAGTTTTGGGTGGTGTCTTCCCTATTTACGAATCGACACAGTCTGTTTACGGATCGTAAACGAACAGTCCATTCGATACCAATGTTACGGAACGACAATCTCTTCATCGACTTATCCTATAGACACAACTTGCCCTATTTACAAAATTAATGGATGCAGTCTGTTTGGGGATACAGCTGCTTACGCCTTAGACACACGCTAGTTTCCATGCCTCGTGTTCTAGTCGACAAAATGCGTTTACGAATCGACATAGTCTATTAATTTTTTGGAACGTAAACTAAGAGTCTATTCCATACCAATAGTACGAATGGTTGCTTACTTCTAACGAATAGAAATGCCTAAACCACTTTACCATCCGTATAAAAAAATTTACGAAACGAACGACCCGTGTGCGTGCAACAGTATTGGACAACCATCATATATATAGACTATTAGCTTTACCTACATTTACATTTTTTACATTAAAAGTAGAGGATAAAATTTCTGTTAGGGCGAAAAGCAAATTGGTTTTTCAATTAAAAAACTTGACTAAATAGCGAAAGAAAAGTTTCCTATTTTTTCCTCTTAATTTCCAGGGAGTGCCAGGTGTTAACGGTAAGGACGGTTTGACTGGTGAAAAGGTAAGCTTAGTAAACATGCGATGAGGTCAAAAAATCGTTTCATATTAACAATCATCTAGTAACCATTACGGTATTGGATAATTCTTTTTCAAGAAGAATAATATTGCGGTATCATTTACATCACCGAGTAATATGTCTTCTAATCACATTATAGGGTTCCATTGGTTTCTCTGGTCCACTTGGACTTCAGGTAGAACAACTATTATAATACAAAAAACATACGGAAAAAACGGAATGCAATGACAAGTCATAAACGGTTACCGTACCCTTAAACCACACATTATCCTAATTTTCTTGCATATTTAGCAATATAATTATACGTAAACGATCAAATTTATTGATTGATTTTTACACATGCACATCTTACAAAACATTGTTTTTCATATTTCATTTTAAATGTACTGAAAATAGCCTTCTGAAGTGCTTACGTCACACAGTTTTCTATGTATACAATTTTGTCCCACTTGTTTCCCAGATTGCATTGCGATTCATTGTTCGAGAACGACATGACGTAAGCACCTCAAAGGTCTATTCAATGTTTGTTTTGCGCCATGCATGCCAGTTTTACTCAGAAATTTTCTCTATTCCAGTGCAGATTTAATTATACGGTAATTTTTGTATAACATCATGGAATATTATGTGTGAATGTTACTGAATATATTGTTTTCAACCCAAATCATAAAAGGGGGACAGAGGAGCAAAGGGAGATACAGGTCAAAAGGTAAAGAAGGTTAACGTTTTTTAAAGGGTAACATACTGAAACAAAATTTCTCCTTTGGTTAACATCGTTATTTATTTTTGAGGGTCAAAAAGGAAGTAAAGGAAAGGCCGGCGCTAAGGTAAATTGATTATCAGGAAGGTAGAACGTAGATTCTGTATTTCCCTATCGATGTTTTTGTATCGTCAAGTACTGACTAATGCAAATACATTCCAATATAACTAAGAGGCAGCGTGGCATTGTCTTCAAAACAACTTCACACATATAGGCGTACTTCTATTTCTTTCGTTAGCTTACCTACCAAAAAAAAACAAAAAAAAACAATGAGTAACATATTGCTTGTTTTAAGCTTTCATTCATGCTCAGATGTGATGGGCTCGTGTGTACTGAAAACTTACGTTGTTTTGGTAGTGTAAAATCAGCTGTTGGCCTTCATGGCGGCCATCAAAGATGGCGGCCAAGTTATCGTTCCAGTCTTTTTAGAGTTCACCGGAAGCAAATAAACTAACGGCAATAACAAAGCCAATCCATACCCAGGGTAGCCCATTTCCTTCGGCCGAGAACAGATTCAAATATTCGCTTTCCAAAAATGGCCTTAGCCTAACTATTCAGGGGGGGAGGAGAGGCGTACGCTTATGTCTTCATATCCAGACGTGTTTGTTGCCAGACATGAATATATATAAACTATGAGTATATTCCGTATAATTATGGAAATATTATTTGGTTTCAGATGGAACAGGAAATGGAGATATACACACTGAATGGCTACTTCGTGTCTCAGAGTGGTTATTACAACAATCGCTATCACGTTACATCACGTGTTCTAACTGACGGAAGATCAGACACCGGTGGTTGGGGCAGCGAGTCAGAAAATGCTGGGAACTATATTCAAGCAACTTATATTCGCCCTGTTTACGTCACGTCATTAACAGTAGCTGGAGGTTTCATATCATCTTGGGGTCATGATGTGAAGCCAGAATACGCGGACCTGGACTTGGAATATTCTTTCGATGGCAAAAGTTGGTTAAAGGTAGTGGTTTTACTTTGTTTGAAGAGAAAAGAAAGGGCCTCTTTAGTTGAATTATAGGAATACGGTTCGGACCATTCATAAAAGACGAATATAATGTACACGAAGCTACTATATTCCCTTGCATTATTTCGGAACTTGTAAATACACAACCGGCGAGACATATTCTGCCTAAATTGGAAAGCTTAGTAACAATCGCAAAAGTAAATTTTTTTTGGCTTAAATACGGCGCTAATGGCAGACAGAAAAAAGCTAGAAAATATGAGAAAGGCTGATTCTATCTTTTTAACTAATTAATACACAAAATAATATACGTTCCTTCCTTTCTTTTCCTAGGCACGAACTGTCCCTGCACCTGTGCAAAATGCTGAGATGATCTTTTACGACTTGCCTCAGCCAGTCACTGCGAAGTATTGGCGTCTCAGATCAACTGAAAACAAATGGGCCGGAACAACTGAATTTTCTTTGAAACCTTTGATTAGACAATAAGTCTAAGTCGCCTTTAAGAAATTATAACACAAACAGCAAATTTTTTTGTAAACTTTTCAATTTATTTTTCTTAATTGTTTTTCTTGATCCTTTCAAATTACATGCAATTTTATATCTACTTGTTTCGTGAAAATATTCTGCGTGCATGGATATCTTAATAAATATTTGAATTTATCATGAGATTGGCATATCAAAGCAGGTTTTTGAAATAGATATCAAACTAAGCATATCAAATCAAATAAATTATAGAGTGTATCACCTTCGCGGATCAATCTCGGTCAAGCTCGTTTCCCAATTAAGTCCGCGATTTCTTCTGGCGATGAAATAAAGGCTCTGGGAACGGGGATAATCCAAACCGTGCAAATTGCATTACAACATGCCACCGGCGTACGTGAACGACCAATCAGAATCATTTCTGATGACTAATCAGAATCATTTCTGATTTCGATATCTTTTTATCCTAGATAAATGGTTTAATTCTCCTTAGGAGGCTCCTAGGACGAGTTTTTCCAAGTAGAGGGATGGAATGGTGTGCAGTGGCGTAGCCAGCATCGATAATTGGGGGGGGGCTCATATTCATATATTCATGTTTACAGACTGTAAAGACAATTGATTTGAAAAGAAATTAATCCTGCGTATCACGAATATATGAATATGGGCCCCCCCAATTAACGTTCTGGCTACGCTACTGATGGTGTGGAGTAATCGCATACAGGAACTCGGACTCAAATACCCTTGAAGTACATTTACCGGCCTCGTCTCAAAAATATTCCACCCTTGTTTTGTTAGTATTTACTTTATTCCGGTCAACATATTCTTTTATCGGTCAGTACTCCCTATTTCACTGTTTACATTATCACCACATCGCTGCAATTATTGTTTTCAATTTAGGATTTTAGGGGTAAAGATTAGTCGACTAGGAAAAATTTGTCCCATTCATTCACCCTTCATAAAGTAAGTTATGTGTAGAGTTACCAGTTTTGCCCGATTTTTTAAACAAGATCACACAGCAAAGCTCGCTGTTTGCTTTAGTAAGACGTAACTTTTATTACTTTATTGACCAAAAGTACATGCACTCAGTCAGTTTCAGAGATTTTTGTCATGCACCATCAAGCAAAGTCACGGCCCTTAATGGACCTTAGTCAACCCAAAGATATATTAATCACAGTATATTATAAAAGATTCACAGTAGAATTATGCAAAGTTTTGTTCAGTAACATACGTACCATTGAAATTCGCAAAGTGAAAAAGCAATAAAAAAAAGAACTTAACCACATCATTTAGCTTTGTAAATTTTTACTTTTAGACAGAAGAAACAAAGTGGAATGCAACCGTTAGTAAATTATAGACATTATAATTATTAGCTCAACTAATCAAAGTTCCATCATGTATCAAGCAAACAAATTGTCAATTGTCACGTTACCTGGTTACGAACTGAAGCATGTGGTATTTTAATGCATAAGTGGGAAATAACGCTGTAGTCATTTATTTGTGTTAAGTCTCATTCACTGACTTGTACACGGTATATTTAACGCTCAACCTGGATAACACATAAAACAAGTATAAAGCATGCTCGTTCGTGTTCGAGACCCTAATTGTATACATTAGCATAAATTATCTTAGACTATAACAATTTGTACAATTGTACAGATCCTTTTCCAATTATGTATATTATTTATAGTAATTAATTATAATATACTTTACAGGAAACATATCTAGAGCGGAAATATTCTCAGAACGTTTGCCAGGCACCCGTTACCATGGAAACAGAGACGTTTCAAAATGGCCGCCAAACAAGGTTTTATCGTGTTTATATCACAAACGAGTTCGGTGACCCCCAATTTTTTTTGCATTAAACGTTTACGCTATAGATTATTTATCTATGAAAAAGTTTTAAAAAATTCTAACATGGGGGAATTTTTTAATAAGCAAAAATAACGTTTTTGTAAATAGAAAAAATTCCCCATGTTAGATTTTTTTTAAAACTTTTTTATAGATAAAGCATTTATGGCGTAAACGTTTAATGCAAAAAAAATTGGGGGTCACCGAACTCGTTTGTGATATAAACACGGGTAAACCCTGTTTGGCGGCCATTTTGAAACGCCTCTGTTACCATGGTAACGGGTGCCAGGCAAAAGTTCTGAGAATATTTCCGCTCTAGATATGTTTCCTGCAAAGTATATTAACTTTTAGCCTTATAGTGAAATATTTAGGTGCTTAATATCCCTGTTTAAAATGTGCATCTAAGAATTTCGAAAAATTGTATCGAGCTACCTTAAAATGGAAAATCATCTATTTAAGGATGAGGTGGAATTTTTTTTTATCTGGAAGACAAGGTTCCATTCACTATTACTCATTATTCAAACCTGCATATTAAGAAAACTTGCCATCTATTCTTCCAATGCACTTGTTGACTTCCGATATTTGAAAACCTAATTACGCAGTCAGCTGAAATCAGTACAATGTATTGATGCATAAATAAAAGACAAATTAAAACTTTTAATTATGGAATCTTAAATCCCCAAGAGCAAGATGTATTCCTGTGAAAACATTTTGCAAAGGCAGAGAACAAATCTACTGAAAGTGACAGGTCGAAATTTAGTGGCCAACGTCGGTCGATTAGTATTTGTATGTCTTTCATTTATTCTCTTTTAAGTGAGTTAGAATTATACGAGTTTTTTCGCCGTTAGTAATTTGTTATTACTGCAAGCAAGAATTATGTGCCATTGATTGCTAACGCATGCTTCTAAATGGAAAAAAGAGAGAAAGCTAGGCGTATAGGAGGATATATAATTGGTGTATTCTTTGTTTTAGGATACTTGATATTTTCTAAAAATTACTAAATTTTGTAAATGAAAAAATAATTGAAAAAAATTATTCAAACGCAATCCCAAAGTTCATATCTTCAACAAAGGTTTCAATGCAAACTCAGTTGTTCCAACCCATTTATTTTCTGCTGATATCAGGCGCCAATATTGAGCTACTGTAGGATAAAAATTTAACGTCACCATTCTCTGCATCACCGGTGAAGGGAAAATGACACGCTAAAGAGCAAAGTGGAAAGGTTTTGAAATACGGTCATATACTTGCCCCCACTTTCAGTGGCGTAGCCAGCCTGAGGATTTTGTGTCGATATCAGGGACTATGCGAATCCGGTATAGTGTAAACAGGATTTAACCAGGGCTGTGGACAAGGTAAAAACTGTATGAAAGAGTGTGCCACTGGCGCATGGTTTAATGCCTTGTTCCAAGTGCGAAAATATTTTAAATTTCCTATCATAGTCAACAGCCTTTTAGACGACTGCTGTTCAGTCTGTTTTTCCTTTCAGCAAAATTTATTTGTCTTTTTCCCAGCCAACTTATTAGTTATCCCGAGACACTGTCAATGCGGCTGGGCTATAATCTACTCCCTGTAAATACTCGTAAGATTGCAATCTGTATTATTACCGTTGCCCAGTTTCTTCCATCAGTAGAGTATTGCAGCTTTAAATTTCCATATCCGTGTCTGACGTTATAATTCCAAGATGGTATAAAGCCTCCTGCCACTGTGACAGATGTCACAAACACCGGACGAATGTAAGTAGCTTGAAGATAGTTCCCAGTCCATATCGTTTCACTTCCCCAACCACCCGTGTCTGATCTGCCATCAGTCAATTCACGTGATGTCACGTGATAGATGTCATTGTAGTAACCATTTTCTCTAACTTGGTAGTCATTTAACGAATGGATCAACGCATTCGTGATTAGCTCTGTCTAAAATATGCGGTAAGATGATTATGAAATGTTATAATAAATGTTGTATGAAATTCTCTACTCTGCTCATTTTTTGTGTAAGGTTCTTCTACTATTACGTCCAAGGCAGAGATGAGTTCTTCTTCTTTCGTGAATTTGAATAAGTGTTAAGAAGCTAAATGTTTCACTTTCTGCAAAAGAACACTAAGTGCCTAACCTCTTCGCGTGTAAGTCCATCAGGTCCTGGTTCGCCCTAAAAATGCATTAAAATGAACTTTTTGCTCAGGTTTTGTTAAACTACTCATGCACACAAGATCTGCAACTTAAGAGCAAGTTAGCTTTTTGTAAAACTCTAAAGAAGGAGAAAGCTGTAATGAAAATATTTTCAGATTTTCAAGAATTAACGTCCTTATTTGCAAATACATTTGTTTTTAAAAGATCGGATCTTCCGTTATCGTTAAATAAAACGCCACACGAAAAAAATAGTCACCCAAATTTAAGTAACATTATCGATTGAAGTAAACGTAATAGAATTTATAATTGAAAAATATAGTAAAATAAAGTCGCAACTGAAATAATCACTATAAGGGCCTGTTTACCAAGGACGTAACTGAAGCGATAATTGGAGGGGGGGATATTCATATATTACGTTCTGCCCGAAGGATTTCTATTCTATGCTATTGCACTTACAAAAGAAATCCGTAGGGCACAACTGAATATAAGAATATTCGCCTCCCCCCCCATTATCACTCTATAGTTACGCCACTGCTGTTAAATGGAGCGGGTTATCCCGGCTAGGCGAGGTAAAAAGCGCATCACATCAAAGGCTTAACTTGATTAGTCTTTCATTATAATTATGCAGTTGTCACCTCGCCTAACCGGGATAACTCGCTTCATTAATTTAAACGGACCCTAAAATTATTTGACCATGCAATTTGAGGCCGTGTATTGGGGATCAATGCCATTGTCCTATTGTTTTTTGTCGAGCGATCATTTAATAACCCCGTGCGCCGCAATAAACAAAAGGATAATACGAATATAGAATATAATTAGAATATAGGTAAGAAATTATCTACTTGATGCGAATTTCGAATATAAGGATTCGTATTCTTACATCTTCACCTTGACTTCCCACTTCTCCCCGAATTCCACGCGCACCCTATAAAAATGCATGATAAAGAATTTACCTTTAATACAATTGTTACTCGTTTTAGCCATGAACTTTGTCTCCTGGACACTCGTGCAGAACTTGGACCGCCCATCGAAAGGGGGGGGGACGGCCAATATATCAAGGGTAACAGGTTTACATGTAGGGACCCATATAGAAACACTACAGGAACAAAAAAACTGTTGATTAAATGATATATGCACAAATCTCGTTGTGTTTTTC